AAAATGGCGACCCATTATCACGTGTCTCGGAAGAGCAAACATACATTACAAAAGCCACGGAGAAACGTGTTACTTTTATATCTAGGTCTTTACAAAAAGTAGTTTAAAAAATGACGTTAAATTGACGTAACGAACAACCGCGTGTTTTGAAGCTACAGATTTATACATTTATATGCGATACACAGCGTACAATTAAATTGTGTTAAAAATAAAAAATCTATTCCGAACGTAATTTAGCAAACACTCGAGCATGACCCCCACTAGCATTAGTAATCTTGACAGGCATGGCGTATATAGTAGCTCCTTTGGTAGGCAGTTTATCCACATTAGCTAAAACTTCAATGCCATAAATGTTAGCACTTAGCAAAGTCACGTGAGCGGGATAAGTTTCACTCGCCATTTCATCGAGAGAGAGAGTTTCGACCCCCACACCATAAATACTTGTGTTGTTAACCAACCATTCTGCAGCTTCTCGTGAAATTCCTGGCGTGTTTTTGAATTCGCTTCCATTCACGAATTTCTCCTTGTCGTTCCAGAATTGGCCCCATCCCGTCTTCAGGATTAACACGCTACCGTCCGGTATTTTACCGTGGACATTTTCCCATTCTTCCAAATCTTCCGGCATCAGGTTAGACACCGACCCGTTCGCTATTCTGTAATTTATATCGACCACTACGGCGGGGGCAATGAAGCGTTCGAATGGAATTTCATGAATGCACCATCTACCCTCGGCGAAATGGCACGGTGCGTCTAAGTGTGTTCCAACGTGAATGCAACTAGATATGTCTTCATTTTGATACCTAAAGAATGAAACTGTAAATTATTCTTTCGGTTTAAGTAATTTAATTAAATGTTTCGAACAATTTATGCATCCGACCTACCAATAGCCATTCGGCTGGGTGCCATTGTACAACACAGTGACGTTTAATGGGGTAATGCCGGGATAAACGGGTATATTCTCGTTTAGTTCGTATGTCATGTCCAAATATTCCGCTCCTTTTGCTGTCCAAACGCAATATGTCTTCAGTAGGAGGACGTACTTTATAATAGAGACTATTCCCATTGTTATACAGTATTGTGTCGGGTGTTATCTAAATAAAAAGGCATTTAACCGTCATCGTATATCTACAATCAATATACTGTACGAGGTGGCCATAATTAAAGTTTCCCTATTCAGAGTACTCTGTAGCTGTAACCAATAAGCGGTTTGACACCAAAGCTTGTGTACCCCGTATTGGTGGGATTGAACCGTTCTGTAATGTACTATATAAAGTTGATGTCGTTTGTATAGCGAGAACTTGTATGAGAAATTGGCCCTTATTTATGTATTACAAACCCAAAGGAAACACGAAGACCAAGTGGAAGTCCTTTGCTGAAGCACGACCAATGTTTATAGTTTCATTACTGTAGACTAAGCTGAATTCATAATAAATCTTACCAGTGGCAAAGTTGATAAAACCACCAAACCCTTACCGATGGCCTGCCTACCTGGAGTTTTTCGGGTTTTCGTCATGCGTGTAACACCTCAATAGGGGCCAGTTTCCCTCACAAAAAGTCCTCCCGTGAGAGAAACTCCCCCTTGTCAGATCGCTCGCTCGCTGCTTTGCCTTAGCATTTACACACAACAGTGACCGTTTGGTGTCAGTGACGTCGAGCACAGCACAGTAACGAGTATTTACACACAACAGTGACGTTTCCGTGCTGTCAGTGAGTGGTCATAGACTTTACTGAGGATGAATTGGCTATGATAGCTATATGTTTGGATGAAGAAGAAAAAGAAATGCGATCAAGAAAGCGCCGCAAGTGGGTACATCAAGCATGGATAAAACATATCAACAGAATGAGTGTTTCATATCCTTTATAAAAAACTGAGATGACGAATCTATATTTATTGAATATTTTCGAATGTCCCAACATGCATTTCATATTTTATTAAACAAAACAGAGAAAATATTCATTTTATACCCAGTGTCCGTGTATTTCGAATGAGATAAATCAAATAAAACAAGGTGTTGATGCACCATTTCAATTAAATGTTCGTCATCCATTGGAAAACAAATTTTACCGTCAGTGAAAATGTCGTTCCCGTCAAACGTACTTTCACGGTACGGTCACGCCACTGCCACTGCACAGCACCGTGACAGACGAGTCTGGACAAGTTGGTTTAAAGCTAGGTCAACGATTTCCCACAGGCAAAAATTCACTGCACTGTGCCGGACTTCACTTGTGTGTAAATGGACCTTTAACCGGAACGGATTTCGTATACTGAGCTTTCTTCATTTCCAGAACATACCCTCCGTAATTTCGGTTATTAAATATTAAAATATTATTTCAACAAATATATATAAGTAAATTACAAATTTGTTTACTTTTTTCTCCTAAAATAACGACATGTGTTGGATTGCATAAGCTAGAAGTTTATCTCTAGAGTCAAAAGTTATCGCCAAGAGCACACAAAAATAGTGTAAAGTATTCGTATATATATACGCAATGCGCTTTATTTTACAGTTAAGAACAATTGGAAGTTTGATTGTAAAGACAAACAAACCTCGATATAGCGCTCTCGTAAACAGCGAAACTCTCGCAAAGCGCTGATGCCTACTTGTGAACGGATCTACCTCTTACGTATTATACAATTCTGTATCTGTGAATTATCGAATTATTATATAATATATAAACACCACATTGATTTCACGACCAATTGATAATTCTACAGGGAAAAGATCATAACCTCTATATAAACAGCGAAATCGTTAAAACACTTGATAAATTTTAACCCTCTTCATATTGCAGGCACCGAGAACGCATTTTTCCATGATCATCGTGGATTGGCCACGCCCGTGGACTTGTTACTCTGGGGCCCCCAAAGTGGCAGGCAGGAATCATAGATTCATTCTTCACCCATCAATTTCCCTTCTTGTTTTTACAGTACAAATTATTCTGGTTGCCAGCACCGTGGGCCTGACCAAACCCGTGGAGCCTGGAAAAAACGCCATCGTAGTAATCAGAGTAGAAAGAGTTTATTATGCAATCACTTATGAAACACAGAATATAACATGTGGATGTCTTTAAATGAACACACACAAATGCATTCCTTACTGGAGGCGATGAACGAATTTAAGATGTACAAGGCGCAGCTGCGCCTTCTTCTGGAGATTTTCCCACAGTACCACAGGAAGTAAAAAATTTTGTAAGGTCTAATATTTCCTTACTGCACCCCCTCTAAGGATTTCTGGATCCACTACTGCGTACAAATGTACCACAAGGTCTTTTTTTTCTAGTGTATTTTACACGGAGACTACTGAATTCAGTGTCTACAATAAATTCGCGTCCCCGTCCGGTAGACCCTATCGTTTATAAGGCACATTGTTTTTGGGTATCTGCGTCTTGGACATTTAAATAGGGCTTTTTTTGTTCTTAATAGATTTAGCTATGCCCCTTAACCAGGGATGGCCGGATGAGAAAAGAGGGTATCGACATAGCGAAGTAATAAACAAGATATTTATGTAGTGTTTATATTTAATTTAATACGAGTTAATCAAACTAGAATAACGCGAGGAATAATTTAAAATACGAATTGCCTTACCAAGTAAATCCGCCTAAAATCTACGTCTGTGTGTAACTTCCACACCTCTTACGTCACCATTGAATAAATAAAGCGTTCCAAAAGTCGAAATTTTGTTTACGAATTACGACGTGTGGCAGATAAACTTGTAAAACTTCGTGTTATTGGTCTGTTACTTGGATCGATGTTTCGACGCTGCCGAAACGGATATGCAACGTGTAGAGAACATCACGATACAAATCGCCTTATGAATCCACCTATGGTCTGTGTATAACTTGAACACAGAACATAGATTCGTGTGAAATCAACTCGTTCGGTGAGACCATTCACCGAACGAATCCCTGCGAGACGTGAGACACTCAACGCATTCACATAACTAGAGAAAAGGCACTCATACTCTGGGCTGAACTGATACTTGTGAGAAAATTTTAATGATTATTGATAAGATTACTTTTCTACAGATTGAGAGAGTAATTTTTTGCAATTACTTACAGTATACACAAATTCGATGTTCCTTAGAGGGTCGTGGAGGGCTGTCAAAGGCCTCGAGGTCCATCTAACCTTTCTTCTGACTTGGTGCTTTCAATTTCTCATTCTTGGGGATTTTCGACTGGTCAGGATTCGAAATACCCCAGAATTGTAGGCTGCCAACTAAACTGCTCAGCCAACCCACCAATTAAAATTCTATTGTACAGATTCTGGCCCGGGTCCCGAGTTACATCTTTGCCTTCTCCCATTTATTAATTCAATTCCGTACGTTCTTTCCATTTTAATGTATTAATTACTATTCTAAATATAATTTCTCTCTCCCGTCTCTCAACGAGTTTACTAATTTGACTTTCACTGGACCAAGACTGTGAGACTGTTCAACTAATTGAAACAGATTTTAAAAAATGTAACATTTAATGTTTTTCTTAATTTATAATTAGGTATTTTCATTCCACAACATACCCTTTTGTTGTTACAATTGCCATCTTTGTATAGTCTAGCACCACTCAAAATTTTAATTAGAACTAAACTGGGTCCTTACATTATGCATACGAATGCTAGGAGACGGCTGAATGGCCAAAGTAGCGAGGACGTCGGACCACCACTCTCAGAACCCAGATTTGAAACTAAGTTTTACAGCCAATCTGCTGTGGGTATGTTGGATCTTCTTCTCTTGTTGCCCAGTCACTCCAGTTTGTGGGCCTGGACAAACCCATAATGGATATGATTAAGAAGAATCTCTTAGTGTTCTTTGAACCTGGATCCATAGAGTAGCAGTCCAATGCTTTGGCCATCCAGTTTTCTATATAATGTAATACGGTACCCGACCTATTATCTGGCAAGCTTGGGACTGGAACTAAATATACACCTAAAATTATTTGTATCCAATAAAATTTAAATTTATTGTAAAAAAATCTAAAAAATAAATTAAAAAAATACACATTAGTTAAGCACAGAATATTTTATTTTTTACACACAATAAAAATGTGGCACTAAGCATTCAGACACACACTACAATGCAACACATAAATGACTAGAACGATTGACAGAAGATAGAAGACAGCAAACAATAAAATAATAATACTTAATGACTAGGATTTTTAAAAGAATTTAGATGATATTATGTTAAATCTCATAAAAGTATACTATAATTTCTAAAAAATCTTATTACTATATATGATAGTAATTACTTTAATTACAATACTTGGAAAAGAATGGAAAATTTTTTGTGCATGATAAGGGTATAAGTATAATTTCAAATTTGTAAATTTTATAATAAAAATTAATAAATAAATATTTTAAAAAATCCACTGCATTTTCAACATAATTTCCAATGTTATTTTACAAATAAGTATACCGGACGATCAAACGAAAGTAGAATTTAGAGAAGTAGGGCCGAGAATTCAGCCACGAGCTGGCCATGCAAAGAGCGTGACTCACAAAACAGCAAACTCCTTGTGCCACTTCTCCTGCATTCTATTTTAGTTCAATTATCCTGTAGTTTATACACAAAATATCGCAAATAAAAATAAAAAAATATTATTGAAATAAAAATCGAAGCAGCTCGGTTCCGGGAGCCATCAATTCTTTATTATTAACTTGCGACAACGCCTAGAACCGAGCCACGTTAGTTTCTTGTCTTGTTACAAAGGAGTCGAAAATAGATTTAAAAAGTTACAAAAAATCCATTCTGTATTGACACAAAACAAAAAAAAATTATTGCTTAATCCAGAAGAATAGAGAGACCAATAAAAAAAAATCCTGAATTTGCCTTTGATCTTATATTTTTTTCAGCAAAGAGATGATATTTACCGATAAATGTTTACTATGCCAATGTTACTTTACTCTATTATTCCACTATGATTATTAATATATTCATATATATTGATATATCATTTAACAAACTCTTAAATGTCTTAACATTTAGCAGATTTACCAATTTAATTAAAACATTTATCATTTTTTCGATAAAGACAGTGAGTGCTCGTGTAAAGTATAACCTCCTAAAAAATTTGTAAAGTATTAACGAGAACGTCAAAATTCTTAGGTCTGAAAGTGTTCTACTTCATGTATACATGTGTAAACATATAAAAAGTTAGCTTAATTTACAAATAATAATAATAATATTTACGAAACATATACATCAATAACGTAGCAGGTAAATTATAAAGATTATTTGGTATTGTAATTTAATAAAATAGTCGCTTACGAATATGAGGAAGTTAAATTACATAAGCTGGAATGGTATAATTAAAATTGTAATCGCGTAATTCAAAATATTTGTATTTTTTGTATAAAAAAATTTAAGTGAAACGTGGAATATAAATTTTAACAGAACAGAACAGTTTAGAAAAGAAAAATGGAAATGAAGAAGGAAAAAATATCGAATAAATAAAAAGTACACAAAATATTCACTTTTAAACAAAATGACTTTCGATTTTAAGCAGATCGTCTTTGTTTGTTCTCTCATTCTTGATAATACGAGTTATTCAAATGGATGCAAGTTTACATTTATCACGTGCAAAGCATTATAGCGACCGAAAGAAGTCTTTCAACCACTACTTCTTGCCTCTTGTAGATCCTCTGTTGATAAAATTACAAATACTTATTTTTTTTTTATTATTATTATTATACAAAATCTATAAGTAAACAATAATAAAAATGATTATTTAGTTTACTTCTTTTTTGCTTTTGGAGAAGTCGACTGGAACACGCTCGATGCGGACATCAGATTTTCGATGTACTGACCCAAAACTTGGTTTTCCGATTTCAGTTTTAAGTTTTCTTCTTTGACGCTATCCACTCTTTGAGATAAGTCTAAAAAGAAGCAAATATATTTTGATTTTAAATTATTAAAAATATTTTAAATATATTTTATTTAATAAAAATAAATTATAGTACATTTAAAATTTCCACATCACCACCTTTAACAATTAATGTGATTATAATGTTAAAACATAGTTTCTTGACATTATCCAACTTTTACTCAAGAAATTCTTCATTTAATACAAGGTCTTTCAAAATGAATTCTACTATTTTAAATTACTGTAATTATGCTAATTATTACCTGAGAAGTATGCAATGTACACTAATTGATAAAGTAACTGACAGTGTTTCATCTCCCATTTGCAATCAATAAATTAATTTATCGAATGTAATGGCTGAAAAGGCACAGCTTGTCTTCCCAAAATGCATATTGTGGTTACAAATAAATATTTTATGTTCATCAATCTCTGAGTGAGTTCTCAATAGTGTGTGATAAGTCCTAAAAAGAACTAATTATAGTGCTTGGATAATTAATTAATAATAGCAGGACAAGAAGCATAATATTTATTAAAGATTTACATATTTCTGTACAATATGCCAAATGCCATGTAACTGACGTAATTCATTAAGCAAATGATACAGAATGCTATTTTGATTAATTATTAATAATAATAATAAACTGCAGTAAACAGCATGTGTCTGGTGAAAACCTACAGGTTACCAGATAGGTTACATAAAAACAAGCAGAATTCCTTGAAATGTAGACCAAATTTAGTAGATTAGAGCCCTACAAATATCTCAATCTGCTACTCATAGCTGAATCTTGCAACCCCAAAAACCAGCCATATTTTATGAAATAAGAGAAAAAAAAGGGTAGTCCATGAGTAAGGTGAAATCTGAAAATGTGTTACTATAAAAGCAAAACCATATTGACCAGATTAGAGTTGTTCTTGGGCTACTGTTTGCTTATTGCATGGAAGAACTTTGATCAAAACAAACGAGTTAACAAAGTCTCATCACATTCGGACAGAATTTTCACTTCAAATTTCAAAGTAGCCATAATTCAAACTAACCAGATTTGTAATCTCTATATCCCTGGCTGAAACAAAAGCAGTTACAAACTAACAGGATTTTGAACTATCCGAGTTTAAATTAATGAGGATGTCCTATATACATATTCTTCAACATAGCAGATAACTCTCTATTTAAAACTTAGCTTCATAAAAGACACATCCTTCACTTGGCTTCCCATAGTTCAAAAGACTACAAAATCACTCAAAAACCAAAATTAAAACAGTAGTAGTAAGAGATATATATCTACACCGATAATATAACACACACACAAACTACTACACAAAGTGAAGAGCAAAACACACCAATGAGGCTATATTAAGATGACTTTGTGCCCAATTCTAATGCGCACTACAATTTTGGAGACCAGAATAGTAAAAAAAAAAAATGTGCATTAGAATCAAATTATTTGAAATTTACTTCCTAAATGAAAACCTATATATTTTGCTGAGCTGCAATTTTGAAATATTGTAAAGTTATAAATTCCAACTGGCATCCGGCTTCTGTCTATCCTTCCTTCCTTAATCTTGATAACAGAGTGAGATAGATGAAAGTCCAGACCAGATAAGGAAAGCTTACCAGCAGGAAGCTGCGATTAACTATATACAGTGGTACCTCAGGATACGAACGCCCCAGCATACGAAATTTTCAGGATACGACGTGAAATTCGAACATATTTTTGCTCCACGATACGAACAAAAACTCACCATACGACGTTACATTAGTTCGCAGCGCCATTTCTTATTCACTTCTGTTCATCTGTCTCAGTCCACGTGTTTGCTTCGTCGTGGAAGGATCTCGCTCGATAAAGGAAATCTTGAGGTATTAGAGAGGTTGCGGCCGACGTTTTCAACGCGAAAACGTGTACGTCGGACGTTTAGCGCCGCTTTCCTGAAGACCTAGAAGTTTGGCAATGGTGTTTGGAATGTCGAGCATGATTCCACTGACTATCCAAACACCATTTTAAAACTTCTAGGCTTATAGGAAAGCGGCGCTGAACGTTCGACGTACACGTTTTCGCGTTGAAAACGTCGGCCGCAACCTCTCTATTATCAGAAAGTGACTGATTTTATTGAAAAGAAACATTGCAAAAAGATTCACACTGGCCGTATTGCTGCTCAGAGTAATGACATTTGCCTGAGTCATTTTAGAAACATTTTAAAAAGTAGGCAAAGCCAAAACCTCTTTGGACAGATACAGTATTTTACCAAGCGACCTCTATTTATTGAAAAGCACTTTCAATAGTGGTGGAAGTGAAGGAAAGAAAGCAAAAAATCAGTGAATAAAAAATTAACAAAAATATGTAACAGAAAAGATTAAAAAATTAGTGTTAAATTATTTTTAAGTTATTGTTACATTACGTTATGTAAGTTTAGTTTTAGTATCATTTCCCTTCTCCCTCTCTTCCGCCAGCAGTTTACACCTCCACCATCATCTATCCTCAAAGGTAAAGTGAAAATAAAACTACATTTTTTTTATCGATTATTATTCTATTATGGTTTTTTATACATTTACAACTACAAAACGCATTTTTCAGTGTTTTCCTTACTACAGTTATTTTTTTAATGTACAGCTTAGCTTTAATTTGAGTGTGTTTTTCGTATTGGAACGAATTATTTGGTTTTACATGTAATCGTATGGGAAAAAATGATTCAGCTTACGACATTTTCATGATACGATCTCAGTTTAGGAACGGATTAATTTCGTATCCTGAGGTACCACTGTACAAACTTCCAGTTTGGACCAGAAGTCACATTATTTCAATTCAAAAATTTCCCCCAGAACAAAGTTCAATAGATGACCAGCATGTTCGATTGTTAACAGGAAAAGTGTGATGTACAGAGGCAAGACATTACTAAAACTGAGAACAGTGTGTTGAAAACGTTGTGACAATGCCACAATAAACAACAGCTCATTTCTATTTTTATCACTATGTTTATAGATTTTAATTGGGTATCTTCTCATTGTTAATGTGGGGGTGGCGTATTTTGCTCATTGGACGTTTCCATGTATCTCCCGTATAAACGATTAATAAAGTAATTATTCATCTTTATTCATTCTGTAACAAGATGAACATGTGTAGAAAAATATTCTGCGTCAAAAATTCTAGTTTCTCGTAATAAATCAAAATGTCTACAAATGTTGTATCAAAATGTCAACTTAGATATAACGGTGTAAAATAATTTACTTTTAAAGTCGTTAACACAGTAAATGTTAAAAAATTACTTACCGTCAAGAGTATTTTGCAACTCTAGCACTTGAGCAATTAAGCGTGCTTTTTCTTCTGCTTCATCTGGGCTGATATCTGGATCTAAAGCTGTAGATAAATGTGTGTTTATAAAATTGAAATTAATATTACAGCCGACTCTTAAAGTTCTAGATAATGTTTTTACTTTAGCAATAATCAAATATGATTATAAGTTAATTGTGAATCCTATTAATCTCAAAAATTTAACATAAACATTTAAAATTCTATTAGCATAAACTGGTTTCTACAAATTATAGTGATTAAAAACAACCTCACAAGAAATTAAATTGGAATAAGTCAAAATCAAGAACATTAGAAAGAATTAAAATCCATAAAAATTCATGCCTAGATGAACTTTTAACAATGTTCTGTACTATACATATCAAAATTTTTATATTAATATTTATTCTGTCAATTTGTCATTTACTATCTGGTATTAATTTATCATAATTTATCACTTCTACTTTTGTAAAGTTTTTATCGGGGTTAATTGCAAAGTGAAGGCCAGCAATAAACATTGCAAGGACAAATATGTATTAATTTTATACTGAAAAACTACTCCAGCTTTCATCTACAGCTAGTTGACAGACTTCTGTCTTCATCCTGTAAACATCTCAAAGAACAGACTAACTTTTTGCTTTAACAGACAAAACACACGTCTGTGACAGAAATTCATTCAGTTGAAATACACAGAGTTATAAATTGCTGTAATGTCGCAAAATGGTGCAAGAGATTTGCTGTAATGCAGACAGGCTGAGAAAGAATTGTTCTGGTTGCAAAGCAATCACATTTTTTGCATAGGGCATTTAAAAATTGGTATGGTAGAACCCACAATTAACCAAGATTCCACATTATCTGAGGCTACCTGTGAAGAAAGTACACTACATTTCTTATACTGTAATTCATAAAAAAAAAACATTTTTTTTATAAGACCTGTTATCATTTCAATGATATGTATAATATAAATATAATACAAAATGATACATATAACTAAATAACTAAACTGTATATATCAAAAGAATAATTTGCAACTGATCTTTACTTTCCAATTAACCATTGTATAATATACTTTTTAACTATATACAGATATCCCTTGATTAATGCAGTTAATTAATCCCGCGACACTACTGCATATACCAAAATTGCATTAATCAAATACAGTTGCACTTTGGTACTCTATCTCACAATCGTGACCTGCTACAACAAATTTTCAGTTAATAACAAATATTTTTATATTAATAAATGAAAATAGCAAATTCATCAACGCCTTATTTGTCGAGAAAAACATATCTATGTTAAGTAAAGACACCTGTTAAAGCTGCGTATAAAAAGGGATTTCCGCAATTAATTTCGCACGTTAATCAAATCTCACGTTAAGAAAAACCACATTAAGCAAGGGATATCTGTAGTTCTAAGGACAATCTATTGAAAAACTGAGTGCACTTGTCAAATAAACTTAGTTATTGAGGTTTGTTTCTAATCACTAAAATTGTAATCCAATTTTGTTGGAATTTGTGTTAAATTTTTTCAGAGGATAATGAATTTGTAAACTCATTTAATTACCATTCATAAATTTTGTTTTTATATTATGAATTATTGAGCTCATTGCACTTTTTTGTTTATAATATAAAATTAAAAACAGAAGGATAAACTCGGTAACTCAAGTATAAAAACAAATTTATCTACGTAATTTCAAAATTTTAGCACGACAACTTTAGTAATAAAATAATTAAAGAGCAACCCACAAGTAGTTACTGGACTACTTGTTCCATTCATAAATGTATATGTTGGAGGATTTAGTTCTGTATTTCTTGATATGATGGGTTGACTAGGAATAGTTGGTGAAGGAGTTTCAGCTTCACTTTCTATTAAAAAATATAAATAAAAATATGATTAAACACACACATTTTTTTTAATGAATATAAAATTTTATTAAATAGCTAATAAATGCATTATATTTCTTTGTGTATAAGTTTTCATAAAAATTATAAGCAATTCAATTAAACAAAACAATCACAAATCTGGATATAAAACAGATGACACTGCTTTAAGCCTATTGTGTAAAGCTAATGTATATACAAAATGATCAACCAAAAGTTTAATTGCAAGAAGAGATTCTTTTTTAACGAAAGAAGATGGCCACACACAAAGTGTTTAGCTGGCAGAAGAAGGGGAGGGAAGATAGGAAGGGAAGAAGGAGGCAAAGAGATAGAAAGAAGAGAAAGAAAAGATTCCTCTGAGCGGCATACATAAGGTTACTACTCTCTACGATTAATGTTGGCATGCAGTTTTTAGGCTGCAAAGCCATGGGTCTAAAAGAAAACCCGATTTGTAGCTTACTCCAATAAGTAGTGCATACTAGCTACATATAGGCTAAATAGAATAAAGTTTAATGCTTAAAACTAAAGTAAAGGCTTCAAACTCTTACTAAAATAATACAGAAACTAAGCTAGCAAGCCCTGTAAGAAGCAGAATAACGTAACTGAAACAACTAGAAGAAATAATGAACACACTGGTAACTTAAATTTAACTTAAAATTAACTTATAGCTATCTTAAATCTAACTTATTACTAACTTAAAACTAGTTATAGTAATTTAAATTTAACTTATTACTTACTAAACAAGAATATCGACAAGGACAACAACCAGACAGAAAAGAGCATGCAATGACAAAAGACTTACAAGCAAGATGCCAACTTTTTTTTTTAATTTAAAATTTCTTTTTATTATTATATATAAGAAGAATAAAGACAACATGAAGGAAGAGCAATGGAAGATAGACAAAGCAAAACCTGATAACTACAAAGAAATAAGGGACCCAACACCAAAGAACTAGCTGTACAATTAACCTTAACTGGAACTATACAATGTGAAAAGATTTAGAAGTATTGGTGAGGAGTTTTAATATGTTATAACCCAATCCTGTAATAAAATAAAAGTCCAAAACTTAAATGTTTCTCATTATACACAGCACAGTATAGAAGGCTCTGCATTGTGAAACATACTCTTTCCATAATAATTGTAAAGACACACTTCACACCAACAATCAAATAAATTAATTAACACAACAGTGTAATGGCGTTACAATCAGGAAAAACTGCAGTATCATATGTAAAACTTTACTTAACTTTTTCCGCTGCACAGTAACTTTTTAGACACTGCATATTTAATTATCCAAGTTACAATCTGACAAAGCCAACATTATCATTTAGTTCCTTTTTCAACATTCTACAATTTTGATTATATTTTTGCAATGAAATTTCACTACAGAAAATGCATTTAAATTGCCCCCCACAATTTTACTAGACTAACATTTTCAGTATTTGTTAATAAATACTTGGAAAAAGAAGTCTTAAAAAAACATACACAAATATCAATATAACTTATATGAATGAATAATGTAATGATTATCATAAAATTCTGAATTCTTGCATTATTAATAAATTTAATTTAATTTTAAATAACTTTTTTTGGTAAATATAGGTTAAATGTTTTTTATAATTAATTACAATGTAAATTACCAACCTGTTGCATCTTCATCAGCCAGTGGAATATTATTCATTTCTTCCTGTAATCTTGACATGTTTGTTGCCATCATCTAATTGTTATTTCTCTAAGAATAAATTTTAAATTATTCACAATTTGATAGCATTATAAAAACTACAGAAATGACTTTTGATTACAGTCGACCCCCTATAACACTGTTGATTATTCCGTTTTATATGAATTCCATGTTGTACGAGTCACTTAGATTTTACAAATACGTGAGCCGTTCACAGCCCGGCACATGTATTTGTAAAATCTAAGTGACTCATACAACATGGAATACATATAAAGCGGAATAATCAACAGTGTTATAGGAGGATCGACTGTATTAGATATTTCAAACTGAGAAAATTACTCACATTCTGAACCAATTAAACAAATAACAAACCACCCAAAAACCTTTCAATCGGCAGATCAAAATACACTGAAACATTGAAAATAAAAACATCAAAAATCCAAATTTGGCCGTGAAAAAAAAAATGGATATTTTAAACAGTAACTTTGTCGTTGATGTTCTTTTCACTCTTACATTGTTGTGTCCTAACATCCATTCCAAATTTGTAATTTTTTAATTTTGAAATTATGATTAGCATTTTTTTTTTGGTTTAAATATACTGATTCTGTAATTATCTTCTGAATATTTGTAAGTATTCCTATATTCCTTGTGAAATAATGGCTTGAACTCAGAACACCTAAACATAAATTACATGTATTTAGAGTTTACAGCACTTAAAATGCTATTTACATATGTATATTTGAAAATTCACAGAAAATAAAAATCAGGATGTAGTCTAGTCCCAATTAGTCCAGATTTTCGATGCTTCACTGTAAACCAAAGTAAACCAATGCAAATATTTTTGAACCTTTTAAAAGGCTATCATCAGGCTGTTTACAGAAGAATATATTTAAACTGGCAAAACATCGAAAAAGAATAAATATATATAATTAGAACAGTTTCTTAAACTAAATAGAGCTTCAAATACAATATAAATTTAATGTGGTTTATGCTCGACATTGTAATTGATTAAAATGTTTTTCTATAAAACAGCTATAAAAGATATCAACAAAATTATCATTATAACAATTGTAGTCAAACTAAACTATATAAATGATATATAAACTAAACTATATAATGACGACATTCTCATTGTGTAGAAGAACAAAACTAACCTTGATTCAGTACTTAAGTATTTTGACAACAACCCTTTGGCCTATCTATCTAAAATATGTACAGAAATCACCAGAACAACTGATGTTCATTTAGCATATCAACGTTCACCGACAATTTTTTTCACTCATCAGAAATGATAAAAACACTATCAGACTCTTATTCTCCCAGTATTTACACAATACCTGTGTGTGATGGCAGAATTAACTGCAAATTTTTATATATTGGTGTGACTACAAGGGGTCTTGCTATGAAAATAAAGGAGCACAAATACACAATAAGAAAGAAGCTTTCAACCAATTATGCTGCAAGTGAGGATGCATGTATTGATTTATAGGATGCAAGATTGCTATACAGGGTTTCTGATACAGCACATCTTAAATAGTTGGAGGCAACTAAAATCTATAAAGCACTTATGAGTGAAGTAGGAATTAATTTCAAAGAAACAGACACACTATCCACAGCGTGGCGCATTTTATTTGAACTTTCATAAAGTTTTCTCATATACATCTTACTAGGTCACGCAGATACAATTTTACGGAATAACTTGAACGATTTACATAAATGACTGTTTAAATTAAATTAGTTATTTTGTGAAAATAATTGTTCAGAGCATTAGTTTAACTCCTTTTGTAAGTTATTACAAGGAATTGTCTTAAATTAATTACGTAATTTTTTTCGAGAAATAATTTAAATGCATTTTTTAAGTTATTCAAAAATATTTTAAAATTAAATATGTAATTTGTTCGTGAAATAATTTTAAATCAGTTTGCAATGTATATGAAAAATAATTTTAAACTGTAGACATACTTTGTTCCAGAAACAATTTTAAATTGAACTCATAAATCATTCGTAAAAACACATTCGATTTTAATATAGCCATTGTACTGCATTATATACCTGAAGATGTCTGTTATAAACGGATGAAAACCTTAATAAATCGCTCTTAATTTCAAATGTGCTGGTATTGGTATGTTGTGTATGTCTAAACTATATAATCCAGCCAACTCCCACATTCCTAATTTAGACTAGGAATTTCGCACAAGAATCTCCTTACTCTGGGCATTCAGTCTTCTTGTTTGCATTGAAGTATTTTGACATTAAAGTATTTGACCTGCTGATTCAAAAGACAGCTTTTGTGTGGGTTTCTTACTGACAAAAATTTTTTTCAGATTAAGTTCATTTTGATTGAATGAAAATTAATATTAAATTATACTCATCTAGATTTGATTTAGAATATAAAATAATAAGAATTAAATGAATCAAATAACAAAAAATTATATTAAAATGCTTTATGGAAAAAATAGTTTTTAATATCTCTTATTAGAATATGAATGGAAACAAGACTGTTGATAGTTTGAATCCTATTTCACTTCATGGATTCAAACTCGGACAATGAATAAAAGAAATTCTCAGTACAAACAATACTACTTAATTATGTATTATACAACTGGTTCAATACACCAAATTTCTGTGCATATAACTTGCAGATTATGTGACAGGAAAGACCATATGCCGATTTTAAATTATAATTACAAACTCATACCTATAGAGTGATGGCTGTTTCCATAAGTATGAGGAAAACAGTGGCATAGGTTATGTGAACACTTATACTAACAATTTTCTGCAGGGTATAGACTTATACTAATGTGGGCTCTACACACAAAAATATGGTAATTAAAAAACTTTTTCTCAAGATTAAACCAAAGATAACTCTAACCTTCAAAGTCTTATCATTAGAGAAGTGTAAAGAAGGCATAAATAGAATGGCATTACATATCAAAATTTTAACTAAAATTGGACAAGAACACTCTTAACACTAAAAGAAACAGTTCTTGTTCAATTTTTGTTATAAAGGAGACATCCTTCTCAAGTTAATGACAATTCAAAAGCATTAATTAAAATAAATTTATGATAAATAGCAAGAAAAATATAAACAATCCAAAGCATACAAAGATACAGTATTTAAGTATTTATGTGCAATATGAAAAGTAAAAAACTTGAAATGTAAATATCATCATTATCAAACAGAAATTTACTTTCCACTCAAGCTAGAAAGTAATATTTTTGAAATAGATTTTTAACTGTAATAAAAAATGACATACTATAACAATTAGAAATAATCAACATTGTAAAAATAAAATTCTCAAACTTATGTAAAAGAGTAAGAACATCAACACATTGAAGTTTCTTTGCTTCTTCAGAACATTGGGTGAGTTGCCCGGTAAAGCAGCTTTAATACAGCTGGATAAACAAACTAATGACATAGCACATTTCATTTGTATCTTAATATTCTGTATTTCTGAAGCACTTTTTGAATGTGAAAAACTTATTCATTCAACTTTAACAAAATTTCATTCTAACTAGAAAGGAATGACAATATATTTTGTAAAATAACAATCCAAAACCGCAGCAAAGCAGCTTTAGTATCTGATCATTTTAATGTAAATTTGAGGATTTTAATGAAACTAAGGTGTTGATAAAACAAGTCCAATTCTGTATTTTGGCACTGCAATTAAATGTAAGATGACTTCAAAAATGACAGGACAAAAATTAAGTCAATGATAGTGGGAGCTGGAACTTCAGTATATTAGAACACAAAAGACACCTTTTGCACTTTTCTGGTAATTTCATTTAATCAAAACAAACATTTTCAGCCTTAATCAGTCAGGCTGAAAATGTTCATTTTGATTTAACTTAGTTGCCAGAAAAGTGTGAAAAATGACTTTTGTCTCTTGATATAAACATTTCCTGAATCAACTTCATAAACTCAAATTTATGTTATCATCACTAAAACTTAAAATGTTGCAAATCATTCATTATAATTTTCAAAATAGTTTCCATTTGATTCTAAAACGACAGTATTGTCTGTGGGTGTCACTGGCTTTTATATAAAACAAAATATTACATACAATAGAGCTGTTTCCACCAAAACGAGAGCGAGTTATACGGGATCTAAAAGACCAGTGACCTATTTAAAGGTTAACTCCATCTTAGAAACGATGCTAAAATAATCCAGTTGTAAGAAAAATGTTTGGTATTAGCTAATTCAATTCCATTCAAATGAAGAAAGGTTTGATTAGAGTTAACTTTTGTTGTATAAATGTTGTATTAAAGTGCATTGTTTGCTTTATGACAGTAAATTAATGACAACAGGAATTCAAACACATCCCAAAAAACTCGAGAAACGACACTTTCTTTACGAAATTAGCCATTTACAAGCTTAGGGCAAGCCATTAATTATGTGTACAGTTTAAGAAGGAGGGGATCACAAAAAAATACATCATCGTACACGACAGGGAGGACACAGGCGCACACTGACTTTTTTTTAGAAGTTCTAAGCTTCCCTATTAGCCACGCAAACAAACTAGCAATTAGAAAATACCTAAAAAACCTTTTTTTATATCATTTCTTCAATGTGACAGGGTTCCACAAACTATTGTAAACATAATTAAAGGGGACGATATAAAAACAGGGAAGGAGGAAGCGGAAAGTGTCTCAAAACCATACGCAGAATTAACGAGCAGACCCTTACACAAAAAGGTAAACTCGGATCCATAAATAATATATTTATAAATATCATTTATCTTTTTATAGACTCATAAAGTCTGGTGTACATTTAAATGATTTTAACATACAGTCGACCCCACTATAACACTTGATTTTTCCATTTTATATGAATTCCATGTTGTACGAGTCACTTAGATTTTACAAATACGTGTGCCGGGCTGTGAACGGCTCACGTATTTGTAAAATCTAAGTGACTCGTACAACATGAAATTCATATAAAACGGAAAAATCAACAGTGTTATAGGGGGTCGACTGTACAAACTTTCATTAAAAATTTGAAAAGTAATTCATACGGAAAATGATTTTAATTTTCATTAAATAAGAATTTCATTAATCATAATTATAATTTTTAAATGAATAAACGTGAGAAAATTCATTTAATAAATACAGGAGCACGAGTAAAATGGGAGTGGCCAAAATAAACGAAAATCGGAAGTTAATTATAATACTTAATTGATAAATATGGTATCATTTATAGAATTATAACGTCACGACGTAATTTACAATAAAAGAAATCCAAAATAAATATATTACCAAATGTGTATGCTGCAATCTAATCGATTTCAAAATATTTTCGAAAAATTAAAGATACTTCACTCGAGCATCTTTTCCACTGTCGGAGTGACATCTAGTGTCTAAAATATACGGATGGGTTATTTTTAAATTTTTTAAAAATGCGATTATTAAATATAACTATTTAAAATATTACTTTTTATATAATTTTAAATAATTTTATAAAAGGAAAGTATTTGTTTTTTTATTATGACAATTTTCAAAATTTTAAACATTTTTTTTTTTTCTACGGCTGGATGGCCTAGCAATTAAGGTGGCAGCCTACCGCTCTGGCGTACCTGAAATACCTAGGAATTTTTCGGGAGTGGTCCGTCCGAATATGTTGGGTCCCGTCCCTTATCGCCCGACAGCTCCATAATGGGCTTGCTAAAAAAGGCGATCTTAGTGTCCACAGGGCGGAAAGAGTTTTATAAAAAACTGTTTCGTCCTGTGGACACTGAGAGCTTTTTTTCTTTTTTAACAAGCCGATAATGATGAGGAACGGAGCTCGACATATCGGGACGGTCCACCCCTGAAAAATTCTTAGGACTTTTTGACCCGTCCGAATTTAGTGGTAAAACCTTAACCACTTGGCCATTCAGTCGTCTAATTTTAAATATTTTTATTGCGTTTCTGTATAAATATCTTTCCTGCCGCTTATATGTAATTCTCATCGCGTACATAAATTGTCTTCCGTAAGCGGAGAGGCGGTAAAATCTTTGGCCCGCCGCGCGCCGCTCTGAGAAAGCTGCGTTGGAGTCCGATGATCTCTGGAATTTTTCTGTAGTAGTCTTTTCTGGATTTGTTGGGTTCGGCCACTCGCTACCTGGCTGCTCCCATTGTGGACTTGCCCAAACTCGTGATGTGTTCAGAAAGGAAAGACCATCTTAGTGCCTACGGGAGAAAAGAGTTAAGAAAAGAAATATGGGAGATAAGCCAATGACTGAGCGTATCAAACACAAGGGTCTTTCTGGTGGAAGTGATAAATGCTTCTATGCCGGCAGTATGGACGATCGGAAGACCTAAATAATAAACGCATCTGCATATTGCCCCGGGGACACAAGTTAGAATCTGATTAAAGCCTTGAAATCTTTATCAGTAACTACAGATACTCTCTATATATATTCTAGGCTTTATCTCTTATCATCTGGCTACTCCTATTACACTCTTGGCCGAACCTATGATTGCCATATCTGAAGCTTTTATACTTATTACCTGCAAAACGGAAATAGTTGGATAGGTGATTAAGGCTTCAATCCACCACTTTGGAGAACCAATGATCGAATCGGGTGATCAATCCCAGGAATTTTTCGAGGGCGATCTGTCTGAAATATATTTGTTTGTTTATTTAGTTTAGCAACGCAACACTTATGCGACTGCCTAGGGGGATGTCTTCCAGGAGGTCTTTTTAAGGGAAACTGGCCTCTATTTAGTCGTTACAAACGTGGAGAAAACCCGTCCGAGCGAGGCGCGAGCCCACGACCGAACTCCCAGTGTTCAGGGAATGAAGACCGCTTGGCCACTGGTCGGCCTTCTTCTGTTTTTCGTTTGAAGAGAGAGTGCTGAGAGAAGAGGATCTGTCCAAGAGAGAAGGATCTTTCCGTTGTTATGGTTGACCCGGTTCGATGGATGTTTGTTGACGACTCGAAGAGGAGGTGATGTCAATCCGGAGAGAGAGTTGAAAGTGAAGTTGAGGATGCAACCAAGTAAGGTCCGGAACTGAGAGAAATTGGAAAGAAGCTTCCTTGTCCTTGAAATTCGTGGTTTTTATTATTTTCTGTTCCTGATTGCCCATTCCGATTAGTTGTTTTTCCTCGTTCTCACTTTCTAAGTGTTCTTTCACTCGTTACTGACAAGTAAGTGTAACAGATGTCAACTTGGATCGCGAGATGAGTCAAATCGCCATTTAATTAGATTCCAAGCGGAGATAGTTGATCTTAAGCTTTACATTATCTAGTTTTCGTTTTTCATGTTTCTGAGAAAAGGTTTTTCTTTTCATTATGCTTTTCCTTTTATGTGTCAACAGACACATAAAAGGAAAAGCATGTCAGAAGTTGGTTCAATATTCACAGGAATGATATTAAAAAAGTTTCTTCACAGTTTTATTGATAATGATAAGCAAATTCAAACGATGTGGAGAATTAAATTAATGAATTATTACTTTTATTAATGAATCATCTGTTAAGTTAATTGTAATATAGTAAGTTTGCTGTTATACAAAGGCATTTCTCTCCTTTCTAATTTTACTATATATTTTTTTATGTTTGTTTTTACTTCGTTACAGTCTTTTTTCGTTCTTTTACTATTTTCTTGCTTCAATTTTTTTAATAAATGAGTCATACTGTGTGATACTCAATGACTTCACAATAATGTCATGCAAAACTTTTGTATTGTGGTATCATTTGTAACGTAGTTATGTAATGTATCTGACAGATTAAAAAATTATAAATTGTTTAAACTCTTATATGAATTAAGGAACCATGAGCATTTTCAAGAACAAAATATGTAGGGATACAATAATATAATTTGTAATTCGGCTAAAAACATGGATCTACACGTGTCTATTATTATAGATATACGGAAGGGTTAAAAGGCCACAAGCTTTTTCAAGTCTTTTCACCCTTTTAAATAATACCTGAAACTACAGACCTGTTCAATGAATATACAGTCAAACCTATAAACAACGGCCACTGACGGAAACATAAAAAATGGCCGTTCTTTGGAGGTTATTCTGTACGCATCCTGAAAAAATGGCCTTCATTATTCCAATGTATTTCTTTGACTAGGATTCCATTAAAAGATCCTAACAAAAAATCTTCTTGAATAGTGAACTTATTATAATAAATACTAAAGGTTCTTAGAGACAATAATGGCCTTAAAGAGTTTCTCACAAGAGTTATAACACATATAAAACGGTAAGAAACTCATTTAAGTCCTCTGAATTGTTTATAGCCTTCCAGGTCTAAAAATTACAGTGAACGAAGCATAAGAGAGATTTTAGGAATTTCAACCGACTGTATTTCTAACAACCTCCATATAAAAGGTTGATTCTTAGTAAACTTCAATAGTGTATCATAGGTTACCGAATACATATCTTCAAAGCAAATTCAGTGTAGCAGATAAGACGAGAAAGGACAGAAAATATCTTCATTCTCATCAGACGATTGCACTTGGCATCGTCACCGCAGTAACTCATGATTTATAATTCCTATTCTGGTCACGTTTTATTTTAATTTTAACGTCAAGCATTTTACATTCTGAATACGGAGATAAGAGTCCACTCAAACAAGATTCGAGTCCAGACACTTGATATCATTTGAAAAAAAAAAAAAGCGAGAAAAGATACCAAATGTTATAAATAATAATATTTCTTACGATATTTTACTTTTATTTATAGTTTTTTTTAATTTTTACTTCACGAAATATATTTCTGAAAGTCTGCAGGTGTTACTTCCCAGACGAATATCTCTTTGTTATGTATCTGTCTGGTATCCATATGAAAATCCCACTAAATCACATGGCCAGGTCGTCCGAAGCGGCGGTATAGACCGAACGGAAATTTGTACAAAATACATCGCAACTTCCATCCTCGAAAGGTATGTAGAACGTTACCTCAATTGACATTTAATCAAACTCCATTTTAAAACATTCGAAAATCATTTAATCCTTATATAAATTTCTCATAAACGAATTATAATCCGTTTGTCGTGTCGGATTATAGAGAAATCCGTAAAGAGATAGATGAAATTGACTCTTTTCGAAGGGCGTCGGTTTCAGTTCGTTCATTCGTTTTAATAGGAAAAAAAAATATTTATATAAATATACATATAAATCGTAGCTTATAATAATATCTCGAGTTGACATTATAAGGTTTAATATATTGCGTGGTGTATGAGAAGAAGCGTTAAGTTACACGACATCTGGCCTTTAACACCCAAGAGCTTGAAAGTAAGTTAGTGGATAATAGACTAGTCGAAGATGAACGCCGCATTGCATCAAGATTTGCGATTTTTCATGGAATAAAATATTCGATTTCTAATATTCAAACCATTTTCTTATAAATTATAAAGTTGCAAAACACATACAATCCATAGAATTAGTGTTTGCATATGGAATATAAAGAGTTTCAGCTGATTGAAATTGATTACTAAAATTTTGATTTCTCTTTCTTCTAATTTAAATAAAATATTCATTAATTAGATAAGGGTAATTAATTCATCCTGCTTCAGTATATATGTATATAAATATACAATAATAATACAAAATAATTATCTAATTTCTACTTCCTAAATAGATTTCTCATATGGTTTTTGGTATTGGAAGCATCATTGATAGGTTTTTATTTACATTAAAGTGAAAATCAATAGTTTGTTGCAAATATCTTACATTTTTGCATCGTGCCGGATTGATTTTTCGGAAAGTAAAGTGTTTCGGTCTGTTCGGTATCAAATTATGCTTTAATTAGGATGCGAATTCTTTTAATTTCTATGGTAAAGGAGTTTAGTTAATACGTACAGTACATTTATAATCAATAATAGGATTGAGGTAGATTTATTTCGTAGAGGACCGAATGTTTTCGAACGAGATAAAAATGGTCAGTCGTTCAATTTAAACCGAGGAGAGAAGCAATCGCACTGATGTTTTAGTGTTTAACCTATTATATTCCTGGAAGATAATTTTTTAATCACAATTTAAATTGTGATTTAAAAAAAGTAAGTTTATTAATACGACTTTCAAAAGTATTACCTTAATTTTAACTACAAATGCGGATGTTCGAAATTTCTTCTTGCAAATTTCGTGGACTCGAGATTTGTGCAAATACTGCCGTGAAGAAGTATTAACAAAATCAATTATTATTATTATTATTATAATTTTTTAATAATTAAAAATTTATGTAAGCATTCGAAATATTTACATAAATTTTTGTTAATTGTTTATTATAAAATAGTTGATACGACTAAATACTGTACTAAATAGAAATAGTGTTGTTTTTTTAAATGCAAATTTTGAAATTAGATCTAATTAAACATAACATTAATAAAATGACTAAAAAATGAATTAAAATAAATTGCCAAATGGAAATTTAGATAAGAGAGAGAATAAACTGAAAAATATAAGTTAAACTTTTATATAATTATCAGTTAAAACAGGATAATTAAATCAGAGCTTTTTATAATTTTTTTATATAATAAAATTACATATGGAAATTATTACTACAAAAATGAATAGCATAAAAAATTCTTATTTGAAGTTTTAATTAATAAATTTATTTATAAATACAATAATTAATAATAATAATAAATTTCATTTGTTTTATTTTTAAAATTCTGCAATATAAGCTTGGCAGTAACAGTTTAATTTCTACATATTGATTTGATATAAAGTTATTGATTAGGCCATAAACTTTGTGTTGAGATTGTATTCAATGAACTTGTATTTTGAAATATTGTCAGATTTATAGTGTAGATTATATGTATAAGTTTTTATTAAAAACTATTTAAATAAAGATATTATATAGTTTATATTGTAATGTATTATTTGTTGCATTTAAAGTATGCAAATTATCAAAAAATTAAACTATGTAATGATATAAATATTTATTAAGTTTTGCACTTATTAATATAATAATTAATAGTGCAAGGTTGATAGAAAAATAACTCATTAATATCAGTATGAAATTTGGTAGAATGTTAATTTATGTTATAAAATTTTAACTTTAAATTATGCAGTATAATGTATGTATATGTATACACATTGTGAATGTGTTATATAATGAGAAAAATTTCTGCTGAAAATGTGCATCAATACTTTATTATATGATGGTTTCACAATTTTATTTTGTGAACGAATCAATAAATTCTGCCCTTTTAATGATTATTTTAGGCTTAGTTAATATAACTTTTAATGCACAACCAAAATATTGATTATGTAATAATAACCAGAAATGTACACAGTATATTTTTATATTCTTTCATTTTCTGACTTTAATGCTGTTTAGATTTATATAATTGAAATAAAATCAGAATGTTGTTGTGCAAAATTTCTTTGAATCATCTCAAATTCTATTAAATTACTTAACTATACATAACTAGCATTTATATATTCATGTAAAGTAGCTAGCATCTTGTATAGTATGTTTCTTAACTTACTTGATAAACTATAAAACTGTATATTTTTCTGGGTTTTTACTAGAAATTTTTTATACTTCTGTCAAATAACTTGCAGTTTGTTTAAGTAGAGACAGCATATATAATAGAAATTCCATTACATCAGTTATTTTTAACACGTAGAGACATTTTTTGAGGTGTGAGACTTTTTCTGGAGGATAAAATTATTTCTTTGTGTTTTTTAAATCTATTTTCACTTTTTTTTTTTTGGAAAATGACTCTTTTTTAAAAATAAGATCTTTGTAAAACTATATCAAGTATCAAATTTAAATATATAATTGTTTCTTTTTCTTGTTTAAATTTCTAACTTAGACCTAAATGTTTTTATATTAATAAATGCACAAAACAGAATTTTCTTTCTTAATTTACTTAGACTTAAAGTTAAGCTAAAACACATATGAGAAAACAGGACGATCTTATCTCCTTAGAAAAATTAGCAAATTTTTTTTATTGTGTGGTGCAAGAATGCATCTTAAAAATTTGAAGAGTGCAAGCAGAGGAAAATGTTAGGTCATGTTTAGAATAAACACTAATCAATAATGAAAAATATAGGAGCGTTTTAAATTAAGTAATTGAATTTTAGCATTAAAATTTATCATAGCTTTGGAGAAGTTTGCTATTGTAGTTAGATACAGAATGGTGGAGAAAAATAGTTCATTAAAGGACTTAACCTAACAAGCACAGGAGAAAATGAATGAATAAAAATTTTTAAAAAATGAAATTTATTAGTAATTAAAATTATTCTATACCAAATATCAACCATAGCTAGATCCCTTTATTGAGCTATTAAGGCTAAATAATTACTAAATACAATGCACGTAAATATACCAGAAATATCCTGCACAAATTATCAGGTTAATTTGTGCAGGATATTTCTGGTTTACCTACCAACTACTGATACTTTGTGTTATCTGCCTGTGCAGTATACTGGCACATTCTGACTAAAAAATAGCCCTGCCTCAAACTATTAAAGCATGGATATGCAGTTCAATATCTCTAAAAGACACATGAAATTGAACAAAACCTAATATTAAAAAAAATAATAATTCAAATTGGATATACATACTACTTTTGAAATAGATTGTAAGTAATAAATATGCTTATTTACACGATCTCTACAAAAATCATGGTAGGTAGTTAGTTAAAGTAGAAAGCCATTCTATGTATATAAATGATAAGTTAAAAACATTTGAAATATTTTGCTTGCTCTTTATATTAACAAATCAAAATTTTTGCACTTAAATACATCACTTGTAAGTTAAACATTTTCACTGTGCAAAGTTTAATTTTGTTATTTTATTGAAAAGATGTGTTGACGTTGAAACAGAAGCAAGATTACAGCTGTATGTAAATGATTATAACGTCAGCTACATCTATAAAAGATTATTGTAAAACTGAACGTTTTCTATCTAATTGCTTTAATCAGTTATGATTTTAAGAATTGAATTCAATAACGTAAGAATTTTCATCTATTATTATTTTTTAACTTAAATTAATGGTATAGTAAATTTATTGAGATTCATACATTTATTTAAATGAGACATTTTCAAGGTTTTTACAAAAGAAATTGAGGATGCAGAAACAGCATTCTTCTAAAATAAATTAGAAATAATCAAAAATGAAGGGAAAAATTAATAGTTTTAATAAAAATATAAAATGTTTGATCCCGAATCCATTTCTGTAATTGATCTATCATGCCTGAACAATGTAACTAATAATGAAAGTTTATATTAAACTTCCACTCATAGCTATGTAGACCTCAAACAAGATTTTCAAGTATCCAATATCATGTTTAGGTCCTTGTAATAGACCTTGTAGACTTAAGTGTTGGTTTATGGATTTTGAAGGCCTCAATGTGTCTAAGGTGGTGCTTGGCAACCTTAGCTTGGAAATTCTTGTTTGAGGTTTACATGATGTAACACAACATGCATTTTTTTTCTTTGCACATGTCACAACAATGTAGCAGATTGTGAAATTTATTTACTCTATTTTTCCAAACTCGAAATTTAATTTATTAATTAAATTATATCATTAAGTTTAAGATAGTGACTTGCCCTTTAGTCCCAGCGTAATTATAACTGATTAAACTATATTACGGCTAGGTTTAATTTGGCAAACTGGTAGCATTAACTGAATCTTATTCTAGTCTAGCAAACTAAACAAGTGTTGTTTAATAAAAGCAGAAATATTTGTCTATCTTTCATTATCTTATTTATTGATAGAATATGACAACATTATTCCAAATAAGCTCAATACTATGTGCAGAAATATATCTTCTTTTCAAAAGAAAAATTGTCACCTGTTGATAATAATAATAATACATAATTGAAATTGAAGTATATAGAGAAAATCTGCTTGCAATAAAACTTGAAGCTATACTTTGAAAAGGCAGACAGATATGTTAAGCTGATTTTATTTTGTTTATTGATAAATACTGTATATAGTTAGTCCTCAACTTATGTAAGTTTGTATTATGTAGAATTTGACTTACAGAATAAGTCTTAGGGTGCGACTATGCAGACGCGAGCGAGCGAGAATATGTGGCGAGAAGAGGCGAGATGCGATAAATATCAAAACCTGTCAGATATGTGCGAGAACCAGAAATTCGCTCTCGCCAAGTGTTATTTCTCGCTTCTCGTTTGTGCATGGTTTTCCTTTGCGAAAACTAAATCACTCGCTCTAAATTCGTGTCTGCATAGTCACACCCTTAGAATATATCTCTTGCATATGTTGGGAACAGACTGTATATATCTATGGTGGCCAAACTGTGGCAACCAAATAGCCTACTTATACAATTTATTTTTATAATCCAGAAATACTTATACAATTTATTTTTATATCAGAACAGTATTATATATAATGATAGAGAATGCAGCTACTATGTATTTCTTGTGACAAGGTTTGGCCACCCCTGGTATATATGCTTTAAAATAGTTAAGATAGTAAATGAGAAATTCTTTATATGAACATGTATACATATTTGTGAAAATGATTTAAGTTTAAGGTTGTAAACATTATTTTTTTTTATTAATGTTTATCATATCTTACTTAACATCAGAAATTATCATATTTATCTAACAGGTGCATAACTGTAAAATGGGTAATGAATGGAAATGCTTATATTTTGTTCATAATATGTATTTTTTTTCACTAAAAAAATTATTTTCTTAAACTGATTTATTCTTTAAAAATGAAGTAAGGGGGAAAAAACTTGTAAATATTTAATAGTAAATAATGTAAACATGTCTATCAATTGGTGTTATAACTATTGTCTATAAATTGTTATTATTTCAGTCTACTAATTGGTATTGTAACTCCTTTTAAGTAAATAATGCTTTCTAAAAAATATTTTAAATGTTTTCTAATTTTTTTGAAAAACTTATTATTTAATGAGCGAGCAATTATTTATTGTGACATCATCACAATGCCGATCTTCAATTTTTAATCATATTTTTAATTTATTTCATTTAAAATGTATTCTCTCCACCTGAAATTAGTAGTGCTTTGCCCCTGTACGTCATACTTTTCCTTTAACAATAGAATTA